TTTCATTTTTAGACTGAGGTATAAAGAGGTCTGACAGTCATCCTGCTGATGCTCTGATGCAGGAATATGTGATGTTCAGCTGTTGATCGAAGATGTGATCAAATTGTAATTTGCAGAACAATGTTGAACAAGAGGAGTCATTTTTATCAAACAGCAGTTAGTTGCTGGTTGACATCAGTGGCTTTTCACCCACACAGGCTGCCTTAAGTGCTTGATGTGTCTGATTCAGTGTAACGTTGAACAAAGTTGATGCAACGCTGAGGGAGAACGTCGACTTGAACATTGAGCAGGTTTATGATCCATTTGTAATTTATGAATCTGGACGCTAGTAAAGCGATACTGATTGTTCATATCGTACAGGTATGAAGGTGCTCAGCAGAGCGAGCTGCAGTCAGCCATTGGTGTCAATTAAAAAAAAAAAGTCTTTAACATGTTTTTACTCCTTCAGATACTCTGTGGATATTCCTCTGGACAAAACTGTTGTGAACAAGGACGTCTTCAGGGATCCAGCTCTCAAACGCAAAGCCAGGCGGGAGGCCAAGGTCAAGTTTGAGGAGAGGTGAGTCTCCCTGATTTCCTTTTGATTTAACATCAGAGGATTTATGTTTCGATTTTAATAAAGTACATCAGGGTTACATTTTTCATGATTTCAAAATGAGTATGTTTTCTAAAGTAGAGTTAAGTGGACAAAAAGTCCGGCGGCAGCACAATCATGGGAAAAAAGATCCCATTATGATCAAAATAAACCCGTTCTTTGATACATTTTGTAATTTCCTCTTAGCAAGCAGTTGGTGTGTGCACGTCCAGATTGTAATCAGTGATGTTTGTTCTGTTTGATCAGAGAAAATGACTTCACCTCCTGTTTGTTGTTTCAGGTACAAGACGGGCAAGAACAAGTGGTTCTTCCAGAAGCTCAGATTCTAAATTCACTCGGTTTCACAAATAAATGTTTAAAAACTGATTTTCACTCTTGACTCATCGTGTTTGTGTGGGGTGGGGTGTGTTTTCTCATACTGAAAATTCATGAAATATTCTTAAGGATTCCATCTGGAAAACTGTGGAAATAGACTTGTAATATTCACCAGCTGCTGAAAAAGTAATCGGAGTTACTCTTGGTTACGAGGACGTAGTCGCACCAAATTACCCTGTAGCATAGTGCAGATGTCTGACCTTGGCACAAAGTCATCACTCACCTTTTTTCAATCTTTGAAACAGGTTGTATGATATCTTAACTGCCTGCTTTCAACAGTGGTTGGAACTAAACGGCACCAATAATGTGAACTTTACAAGACTGATACTGGAATCAGACACGAGTTCATATTTTCTGCTGAAAGAAATCATTCACTGCTGCTTCTGTGTGAATTTGATCAGCTGGAACAGCTAAATACAAACTAAAAGGTTGAACAAAATGTAAGCCTGACTAATTATTCAATGAACGTTTTTAGCATGAAAGATTCTTGAGAACTTTCAGAGGAGTATGGCTCGAATACTTGAACATTCAATGAGGGTGTATGAATGTGGCAGTGAGATGTGGTTGCATTTTTTTTTTTTTTTTTTTTAAGCATCTGAATTAAAGGCAGACTGCAATGATAGAAAATCTTCACTTAGCTGTTGGTACGTTGTATTGTGATCAGAGCTCATCAGACAATTTTTATAGTGTTTAGCAGTTTCAGGAAAATCTAATTTTGATTTTAAGAAACTTGACTGCACATGAGAAATCTTAAATATTGAATATTTGTTCAACATTTTAATATTGAAGTAATTGATCACTGGTTACAGGTGTATTGATGCGGGGATGAACTTTAAACGGGTGGAAAACAATATTTTAAGTTTTTGAAAAACATGAAAATGGCTGAAACAATATTCTTACAAAGATACAATAAAAATATACAGGAAATATCTGGATTTGTCAGCAATCATCAGATCAGACTGATGTGTGCTTTGATCCTGACATAACGTGCCTGCACTGCAATACCTGTTCTCAAGTTCCTAGATTTGCCCCTAACGAATACCATCCACATTATTATATTTAAAAATATATTTGTCTCTTTGGTTTGTAAAATTAAAAAAAAAAGTAATTTAATAATTAATTTTAAAAAAACACGCTGGCATACATGTGCGGACTGATCATCACCGCTAAAACATAAAAGAAAAGGAAATATGACGTAATTTATATGTGTGTGTGTGTGTGTATTTATATTTATTTATATCAGAAGTTAAATGAATCGGAAACTTGAAGATGTTCCAAAAACAGAATCTGAATTATTTTTTCCTCTCATGAAGTGCTTCGCAGCTCATGTAAGGTTCCGTATTTCCCACAGGAATTAAATGCAGCGTTTTGTTTATTTTGGATGCAGCTCCCCCTGCTGGTGGGAAGCGGCATTAATTATACGTAAAGACGCAGGGGATCCTCCTGCGGGGAAAGAGAAACTGAAAGAACGAGTGTGAGTTCAGAGCAGTGATCGTCGGGAGGAGGTAGGTTCACTGCGGCTGCTTTTTAAAAAAATAAGAAATAAACCTTGATAAAAACACGCAAATTCATATCTAATGTGGGTGAAATGTGGGAGTTTTCATCAGAGGCTTGATTTAGGTGATTTATTTCCAGGTTCAGAGTAATTCAACTTACTCAGATGTCATCTGTGTGTGGTTTAAAGCAGGCCTGCGGTACATTTTGTTGTTGTGAAGTTTACTTGAGCTGTGTTTTAGCTGTTTGACTCTCAGTCTGTGTCGATCCTCTGTTAAAAACCTCATTTGGCTGTTCAAGTGAGTGGCAGTGTGTCACATCTGTAATGTTTTGTAAACTTTTTTTCCAGGTTACTTTCACTATGTCGTCAGACGAGGTGAGAGCTCGTTTTGCTTCTTCCTGTTGTTGTTGTCGTTATTATCAAAGCGTTTTAAACCACACGCGTAATGCTGCTCTCCCTGCCAACATTTATTAAGTGTGTTAAAGATATCTATTAACCCACTGTGTTCCACAGCCTGAGTGTAAGGCGTTTACTTACCTTCCGGCATTCCGTGTCTCCATGTTGTGTTTCAGGACTTCTCTCTGGTTCCGGATTCACAATCCGAGGACACCTTGGAGGGGATTAAGGCTTCAATCAAAAACTACAAGGTGCATTGAGAATTTAAGAGTGCGGCTTCATTACACTTGGGCAGTTTACCTCCAGTTACACGCAGGGCTCCTAAACTATTCATATGTCTCTGAATACAACCCAGTCCTAAAATGAGATCCAAGTATGCTGCGGGTGCTTCGGTTACTGTGGTCCTTTTTGTGGAACAAGCCACCTGCTGACCTGAGATCAGTTACATATGTGTGTATATTCAAAAAGCAGACTAAAAACCTTTTTTATTTTGAGACAAGCATTCTAAACGTACACAAGTTTCATGTTTTTATCTTCTGCTTTAAGCATGTTGACTTCCTAAAACTGCCCTATTACCCAAGAGGTTGCATGAACATTTTACCACAGGGGTGGTGTCGCCAAACATAGAAGTGGTTAAAGTTCTGGAGTCAATCCCGATCTGCATCCTGGACATTTTGGGAATATTATTTACTGTTACGAGAAAGATCAGGAGTGCACATTTTGCATCATATGATCACAAACGTATATCAAACTTCTCAAAAAACTGCAAGTTAGCATTCTGAATCCAAGTTCTCGTTCATCCACGCTGTGGAGGGAACACGCTTTTATCACGAAATCATACAATTTAATTAAACCTTCATGGCTTAATGGGTCAAAAATGGAAGAGTATAATAATGTAGACATAATGTAAAGGAGACTTTAACGTATGTTGCACTACAGTGTAGTAATGTCCTTGATGAGATGAGCAGCAATTCTGTTTCTGGTGTTTTAACACAAAACAGGAGAAATGTTTACAATAACCAGCAGGCGCTCGGGTGAAAAGAAAACTGAGTGTGCAGGTGTGTGAGGTCCACTGCATGTCTCTGTCCAGGTCCTGCCTTTGACCATAGGTTCAGCTTTAAAATCAGAAACACTCCCACTAAACGTGTGTGTGTGTGTTGTTCTGTAAACACTGCAGATTGAGCTGCTGTCTATCTTAGCTGAATGCTCACACACAGATTCAGTTTTGGTTAAATAAAGGCTGAAATACATATACACAGCATAAGCATGCTGTATTTATTAGGAGCAGAAGAACAGAACTCAGAAGAGATTGTGTGTTATTAAAATAACTGTTTTAACATTTATTAAACTTCGAGAAGAGTTGTTCTGTTGTTCTGCACAAAATATAACCACAAAAGTTCGTGTTTAAAGAGATGTTACATGTCATGCTGATTAGACATCAATAATAACAACAGCCTGGACTCAGCTCTCCCTCTGTGTCCACAGAAAAAGTATGACCAGCTGATGGAGGAGACAAAGGAGCTGACTAAAACTATACAAGACCGGCGAGATCTGAAGCAGCAGTTCAAACACCGCACTGACAAACTGACCCAGGATCTGGAAGCTGACAAACGCTCCTACAAAGACCAGCTAGCCAATGAAAAGGTAAAGCATGTGTGACATAAACATGCTTATTTCTCAGTGTTACTCTGAGTTTTTCCACCACCATTTAAAGCACTGCGAATAAGTATAGAGTAAAACCCAAGGAATTTCCTCACTGCACTTCCCCTCAAGGGAAAAATGTTGGTCAGATGGCAGAGGTTCAATAACAGGAAGGAAACAAGGAGTCAAGAGGACAGATGATAGTTATTCCATGAATTTTAAGGTTTCACCTTTGAAAACAAGGTGGGAGTTAAATATGAAATGGAAAATTTTAAGTGACAATAACTCATAAAAATATATTAACAATAGGACAAGCAACGCAATGGCATTAAACAACAATTAACAAAATAGTACATGTTATTGTTAATATTGAGTGAATGTAAATACTTGTAATTGCTTTCCTAACAGTGTAAATTAAGAAACTGAATCACTAGAAAACAGCACATTAGAATCCCACAAAACTTTAAATGCTTTTTGATTTCTGTGTCTTCTAGTCGAAGCTGGATCTGCTAAAGCAGGAGGAGCTCAAAGTGGTGGCGGAGATCAAGGAAACTAATGCTGCTATTAAGGAGGAAGAGGCCAATAAGAAGCAGCTGATGCAACAGGCCGACGTACGTTAACCTGACGGGACACACCCCCCTCTGCAGCCCGACACGCCGTGACCTCACCCCGTTAACCTGTACCTGCTGATTTCAGGTGTTCACCTCTGTACCAGAGAGGGACATGGTCTTCAAGGGAGCGACTGGAAATGCAAACAACAAGCAAGAGTTTGAGATGAAGCCACATATCGTTTACCCGATGGATGGCGGGACGGCGCTGATTACCTTCGAGGAGGAAGTCGGTGAGTTTTTGCCAGCACTGGCGTGGTTCAGATTTATCTGCGTTTGTTAAAAGGAAGCAGGTGATCATATCTTATTTTTAACAGAAACATTAAAAAGTGTGCATAAAGTATTAAAATGCTAATTTCCATATTTTTATTCATGCACTGTACCGGAGGAGCTTTGCGTGATTTGCTGTTCAAAATAATCTTTATTTTTCTTACTTTGGGGTTTGGTGCAGGACTTCTAAATTAAACAAGCTGCTTTAGCTCCTCCCCCTTTAACCTTCTGTAGGTGGCTTAAACAGCAGGTAGATGGATCGCACTCACGTTTTTGTGCCACATTCAACAGAAAAATTCAAAAAGTATGTTGATAAATGTATCTACCTTCAGCTGCAGGGCAAAACTGAGCCACTAGGGGGCCTAATGTCACTTTTCAAAACCAGCTACTAAGCTGCAAGCAGGAAGATGCTTTTTGCATCTTATTTGGCTTTAAACTGGAGCCAAATAAAATTATTAGTTCTTTATTATTAGATTATTAGGGCTCCAAAATGAAATAAATAATCTGCAAGATGAATCTTCAGGCTCTCATCATCACTTTCGGCTATTTTCAAAAATATAAATTAAATTTAAAATTCCGGATCTCTCTGTTTCATTTTCCAGTGGCAAGGAAGATTCTGGAACTGAAGAAGCATCAGGTGGATCTGGGAGGAGAGTGCAGCATCACAGTGGAGGCCAGGCCGGTTCATCTGATGCTGCCCAAGCTGGTGGAGGTAAAACAAACGACCACAGCGAATCAAAGACGGCGTCGGCCCAGGTTTAGCTGATCTGCTCACGTGTCCCGTCTGTTCCCGCAGATCGACTCTGAGGTTTCTTCTCAGCGTATTTTAATCTCCAACCTGCCCAGAATGGAGACCGAGACTCTG